AGAGAGAGAGAGAGAGAGAGAGATCAGAGAAAGAGATCAGAGAAGAAAAGCGAGGAAACAGGGAGGAGAAAAGGAGAGGGTGGCAGTGTTGTAAATTTAGCACTTGTATCCCGATTTTTCCTTTCAACAGGACTTCTTCTGTTCTTCATTTGCACAATATTGTCTTCTACAGACAGGAACCTGACCGTAAACCCCTGTGTCCTGCCCGCTGTCCCAGGCTTGCCTCCTATTTCCAGGTATTTGACAATGAATAATCTATTTATAGAGGCACCAGTCATCCATGTCGAAGTGCTCCTCTAACCTCTTTCTCCTGTCTTGGAATTTATTACTGTTTCTTAAAATTCCAATTTGGTACCATTTTTATGCATTCTCTATGATTTTAAACCTGGAATCCGTCTATAATTCGCTGTAATTATCTACACCGCCCCCCCCCCCACCTTTTTTACCCTTTTTTCACCTCAACCGCGCCCTACCCTATATAATATATTTTACCATTCACGTTCCCGCCTATAAGGGTGACATCACTATTGATAACATCCAGGTAACAGTAAGTGTAGTGTATGTAGATCAGAGATGGCCAACCGGGGTAATATAATAATAATAGATAGCATTGATTGTATAGCGCAAATTCCCTCGCAACAGCAAGCTCAATGCGCTTCAGAATCTGTACTATTACATGTACCAAAGATTCTCTATTAGTTGTAGAGAATCTTTGCTATTACCCCAGCAGACCTTGGAGAATTTTGAAACAACCTCAACTTCCTGGGAAACATACAAACTGCCGTTTATAGTCGCTAAAACTCTCATATACTGACAAGATCTTTCGCTAACCATGGCTGGGTACCCATTCCGACCTGGGTGAAGTGAGAAAAATTCGTGTAAAGTGCTTTTCCCAAAGACACAACGTTGGGTCCGCAGCTCGAGCCACCAAACCCACAACCTCACTATATGAGTCCGGTAGTCTAACCACTAAGCCATCGACGCCACTTTTAAGAGACTGAACATTCCGTACAGCCCACAAACATTTTTTTCCCAAACTGGACATTACATCTGATTTAATACATGTCACTTACGTGGTGACCCGCACCGCCAATAACAATTTACCAGATCCCCTGCTAGTGTGTTATACAGACCACACTGAATCATTGATGCACATCCCTGGCTGGTAGCTTATTTTTTTGTCTCTTTTTGTTTGTGCGTCCTGTGTGTGATGTATGTATGTGTGTGTGTGTGTGTGTGTGTGTGTGTGTGTGTGTGTGTGTGTGTGTGT